CTGAGTGCCGGGAGTGCTGCTCAGCCCCGCCCCAGCAGAGCCAGCACCGCAGGGCGCTCAGCGGGACGGGACGGACGCACAGCCACGAGAGGGGGCTCGGGGAAGGCGCAACGAAGCCAATGCAAACATCTCCTCCCAAAGCTTCCCCGCTGCAGCAGGTGGAGCTGGAAGGGAGCAGCCGGGGGGCTGTGCCGGAGGGAGACCCGTGTCCCGGGGGGTCTCTGCTCCAACCCCACTCGCCTCCTGGGCCACGGCTGGGCACGGGTGAACCGGGGGGGACCAGGAACTGAAATACTAAATTTCTTCTATCACATGCATTTGGCCACAACTATTTTTTCCCAGGGCTTCTTTAAATACACCTTTAAATGCCCAAGGAAGCAAAGGTTCGCATAATATTTCTTCTCTAATGCCTATAACCCTGCACACATCTTGTATTAATGTGGTGGAAGAGTTGCATAAAGTTCTGAGAAACCTCCTTGCCTTCTGAGGTTTTCCAAGGAGGATGAATTTGTTTTCAGGGAACTTTCCCATCACCAGGATTTTGATTTTTTATTTTGTTTTTCAAGTTCCTTGTGCCAGGGTCCCAGAGCTCTTACAGCCCTGCTGATGATTATTGCTTAGTCCTTACTTGCAAATTTCCAGGTTCTGGCAGCTCCTCCATGAACCCACCGGTGTCTGACTGGAGCTGCAGCTGCCGGACCCGCTGCTCCAGGAGCTCCGCACCGCGAGTGCAGGGAAGGGAACGGAGCTGGGGAAGGGTCTGGAGCAGCAGGAGCAGCTTAGGGAGCTGGGGGGGCTCAGCCTGGAGAAAAGGAGGCTCGGGGGGACCTTCTGGCTCTCTGCAACTCCCTGAGAGGAGGGGGGAGCCATGGGGGGAAGTCCGGCTCTGCTCCCAGGGAACAAGGGAACAGGTCAAGACGACATATTCTTAAACTACACCACGGGAGGTTCAGGTTGGACATGAGGAGGAATTTCTTCATGAAAAGTGTTGTCAGGTATTGACAGGGGCTGCCCAGGGAGGTGTCGGAGTCACCCTGGAGGTGTCCAAGCAACGACTGGATGTGGCACTCAGTGGTCTGCTCCGTTTGACAAGGCAGGGCTCGGTCAGAGGTTGCGCTCGGTGGTCCCGGCGGTATTTTCCAACCTCAGTGATTCCTGGATTCCGGCATTCCGTCACTCGGCGGAGGGCAGGGGGACCCATGTGAGGGCGCAGCGATGGCGCCCTGCCCAGCCCCGCCCCGCCCCTTACGCGCGGGGGCCGCCGGGAGTTGTAGTCCCGGTCGCGCCCAGGTGCGGCGGCGCGCGGAGGCCGCCGGGAAGCCGCGGCCGCCCCGGGGGGCAGGTGCGGCACCGCCCCCCTCGAACTACATGTCCCGGGGTGCCGCGGGGCGGGGGCGTGGCGGCGGCTGTGGCGGCGGGGACGGGGGGGCGTAGCGAAGATGGCGGCGGGGACGCTGCGCCCCGCTCCGGGCTGAACGCGGCGCGGCCCCCGCGCGGCCCCTCAGAGCGGCGGCGGCGATGTCCGAGCCGGAGCACCTGGGCGGCAAGCGGGCCGAGTCGGCGCGGCTGCGGCGGGCCGAGCAGCTGCGGCGCTGGAAGGGCTCCCTCACCGAGCAGGAGCCGGTGGCGGCGGGGGGCGGCCGCGGCCGGCACCGCGGCGCGGGGGGATCCCGCGTCCGCTTCGAGGAGGGCGCCGTGTTCCTGGCCGCCTGCTCCAGCGGGGACACCGAGGAGGTGAAGCGGCTGCTGGGCCGCGGCGCCCGCATCAACACGACCAACGTGGACGGGCTGACAGCCCTGCACCAGGTACCGGGGCCGGGGGGCTCCGCGCAGCCCGCGCCGGGGCTGTCGGTAAACAAAGGGTGACAGGGCGCTGCGAGCCGAGCCCCGCTCGGCCGCTGTCACGGCACAGCCCCAGGTGGCCTATTCCGGTCGGGCAGCGTGATGTACCGGGCTTTTGCAGGGTTATTAAGGAGCTTAATTAGCAGAATAAAGATCGAGGGGCTGTCAGGGCTGCCGGCCTGGCCAGCTGGCCAGTTTGTTAGTTTTTGGAAAACTTCTGCCTTTGTGCTTTTGGGGTCTGCTGAAATAGCAGCGATGCTGGGAAAATTTCCCCGGGGGAATGTGGATTTTGCAAGGTCAGGAGTGTCTGGTCAGCCCCTGTGTTGTGTTTTATCAGAGTTGCCTTGAAACTCCTCAAACTGCTCCTTTGGCAGGGAGCAGAGAGTGCCCTCATCGCCGATAAGCCACATAGATTCTATTAATATTCAGCCAAATGTGCTGAAGATAGTACAAAGTGGTCCCAGGAATTGGCTATGGAGTGGTAAAGCCTTGGCTGTTGAGAAACGTGTGCTGTGTTTCATCCGTAGCCTTTGCTGTCCTTGTGTAAATGAGCAGGAATGCGAGGAAGCATGTGTAATTGCCATCCCAGAATATTGGGAAACCTGTTGCTATCTAAGACTGATTTAGAATTTAGCAGGGCATGGGAAATCAATGTCCCACATTGGTGCATCTGGTCAGTGAAATGAATCCGGTTTGGATCCGGGCCAGCCTCGGGAAGAAAATTTTCTTAGCTCAAGATCTTGTAGATTAAGCATGTAGTGTAGCAAAATGACCGGGAAAGAAGCACCATCAGGAATAACATCTGGAAATAATGTTTGTAAAGAATAACATGTTAATAGCACAAATAGCAGGACAGTCGCTGAGCTGATCAGGATTTCTTCTTTGCTGGGATGGTGTTACTGAAGGATGGTGTTACTGAAGCATTTGGGACTTGTGTCAGCCCGTTCAGGAGTTCACTGGCTCCTGGCTGTCAGGGAAAAAGGGGAGAGAAGGTTGATACGTTTTTATTCTGGACTTCCAAAAATAAGTTATGAAGCAAAGAGCATGAGAGCTCACAGATCCTCAGGTTGAATAAGACTTCAGCTGGCAAAGCAGGGAACTTTGTGATGGCTCAGCTTTCTTTTGGTTGGTTGTGGGTTTTGGTATAGTGGTAGCAAATAAGTTACACTGCACAAGTACTCTCCAGTCTGGCATGTGTCCATTTATTAGCAGATACATAAGTAGTCCTGTAGATGCTGGTAAGAGCCAGTTATTGAAAAGTGTTTTGACAACCAAGAAGGCTGAATTTAAGGTGGATAGAAGCATGGTAGAGTTGGCATGACTTCATGAGGGCTTTCCAGCCAGGATGGGTTGTGATCTCCTCAGAACTGCCCAGGTCTCTTGCTGATGGAGGTAACGTGACCTTTGGCCAGAGGTGTCTGGTGAAGTGCCTTGGACTTGTCCAGCAACGGGCGATGAGCTCAGCAAGGTCATGCTGCTGGAGTCCATGGCGGGCCCTGTAGTGACAGACAGGCTGCACATTTAATTCTGCCTATGTAAAGGGTACAGAATTGTGTTATTATGTGTCTTAGGATCACAGTATCGGGTGACACTGACCAGTAACACCAAGGGCTTGATACTTGGAAGAGCGTTTGGATGAGTGAGCAGTGGAGCAGATGCTGGCAGTACCAGCCAGCTGCTTACGTGAAGGGTTTCTTCACTAACTTGACAGGAAGGGAGGGTGACCTTACTGTGACTGGAATAAAAACTTTGTTCCAATGTGCCATGGATGCATTAACATTTTTGCTGAGCAGCAACGAGATGTTCTTGCACACCCAGATGGAACAAAGGCTGTTTTGTTAGAGGTTATGTTGTACATGTGTATCCTGAGTCTGTAAATCTGTATTGGATGAAAATGTTTTATTAGCGTGGTTGGGGAGGTTGTTATGAGTTCCTTATCAGTGAACCTGGCCAAAATATGTTTGTTTTCATATTACTTGGAGAATAATACTGCTTATGGTAAAGTGTCAGCCGAGACCAGTTAGGTTGGGGGTCCCCAGAGCTCTGGTTGAGAAATGGAATGATGTAGTACCCGTGAGGATATTTCAGTAACTTCTCTCAGTGTTAGAATCACAGTGTTACATTATAGGGCAGATGGTGGTGACCCTCTGCTCTCATTTAATACATGTGAAACCAAAGGGCCACATAATAAGGAAGGAAATCCTACGTGTTAAAAAGAGCTGGCTTTGTTGAAAGAAAAATCAAGCAGAATTTTTTTCTTTGATTAAAGAACTTAATATTAAGTGAGACTTGCTCTGGACGAGCAAACAGGTCTTTTTAGATAATAGAAGGGTTAACAGTGTCAATTGACTTAATTTGTCAGAGGTGGCAGCTGCTTCCACAAAACCTAAGACCAGTCTTACAAATTGGGTTAGTTTATTTGAAACACAGCGTGGCCCCAAATGTTGTGTGTTGTTCACAAAGATAAAATTACACTTTCTCTGGTATCTGGGCCACTGTGACTAAGACCCATTGTGTGCTTGCTGGGTGAGAAGCTGCCTTTGCTATTTATAGCCACGAAGCTGTATTTTGAAAATAACCTTTTAAATTACAAGTGGTGTTCCTGAGCCTCCAGCCTGTGTCATCGTCCTCTTTGGAGACACAGACCTGCACCACAGCCAGTGTCTGGTGTGAAATCACCTGGGTGGTGACTTCAGCTGTACTTTATCTCCCTCAGCGCCTGCAGATTGAAAATAGGGGACTGATGTTCATCCAGCAGCAGTTATTAACTTAGACTGTATTCAGTGAATTATTTTTGGCAATGGTTTTGTGTCAAATGCAGAATGGAAAGGGAGGTATTAGTTAAATGTGAGTGAACATGTAGAAATCATTGAGAAAGCTGCTTCCAGTTGGTGAAGTGAACTGTTGGTGGCTGTTGAACTTCTCTAGTGTTTGCATGGGCATGAACTGCTCCCTCTGTCTCCTGAGTGACAGAGCAAATGGAAGAGTAAACTTGTATGAAAATTGAGTCTTAAGGGGAAGAAGTCTGCTGCTTCTAGTTGGGAAAGCATCTCCAAATATAATAATAGTAGTGCTTGTTTGTCTTCAAGGATGGTTCACAAAGGATAACAGCAAAGATTGTTTATCCTCTGTCTGCCCTTTGATGATTTACCTTCTTTTTCCTTTGGCCTGTTCCAAGGAGAAGTGAGTTGCTCGTGAAATAACTCCCCACTTCATGTCATTTACAGTACTCTGCAAGCACATGCTGTTTACTTGTTTTTGGGTGCTGGGCACTTGTGCTTATTCAGAAGCTGCTTCCTGAAAAGTCAGGTACTTTGTGTGGTGACTCTGGGTTAGGTGGAGGCTGGAACCTCTCCAGGAGGTCCTGGTTTAAGTTATTCTTCCTTCTGAGCCACAGCTGTAAAATTGCAGGTGTGTCTTGGATGCTGCTTTATAAAGCTCGGAAGAGCAACATGTCAAAAGGGTTGGGAAATTTTCAGTTCCTGCTCAGCAAATTTGTCCTTTCCTCCCTTCTGAAGGTTGTGTACAGTCCTAGCAAAGCAGGAGGCAGCAAAATTTTTGGACAGTCCTAAAACCATCCAGGGGAATACGTTACAGAGCACTCTAGTCACAGCAGTCTGGAGACTCTTGGAAGAATCATTGAGGTCCTAACACTGGAACAAAATCTGGAGATTGAGGGGAAGAAAGAGAGGATTCGTGTGTGGATTGATACTTTCCCTAGCTAGGACATCACTACTGGAGAGCGTGGAGCAAAGGGTTGGGACTGCAATAGTGCCTGAAGCAGCCTGGGTTTGTTTTATAGGATAACTGAGGTAGATCCAACCCACACAGTAAAGTGCTGTACTCCTACAGCCACAGCTTCTGGGAGAATCATGGAATGACATCAAGGAATTGTTAAGGTTGGAAAAGCCCTCTAAAATCATTGAGTCCAACAGTGAACCCAGCACTGCCATGTTCACCACTAAACCATGTCCCCAGGTGCCACATCCACATGTCTTTTGAACACTTCCAGAGATGGTGACTCTACCACTGCCTGAGCAGCCTGGTCCAGTGCCTTTCAGGGAGGAAATTTTCCCAATATTCAACCTAAACCTCCCCTGGTACAACTTCAGGCTGTTTCCTTTTGTCCTGTCCCTTCTTCCCTGGGAGCAGAACCTGACCCCCACCGGGCTCCAGCCTCCTGTCAGGGAGCTGGAGAGAGTGAGAAGGTCCCCTCTGAGCCTCCTTTTGTCCAGGCTGGGCCCCCCCAGCTCCCTCAGCTGCTCCTTATCAGACTTGTGCTCCAGACTCTTCTCCAGCTTCATTTACTTTCCCTGGACACAAGATTTCTTAATCACCAAAAGGTAACAACCAGTTTGTGCCCTGAAAAGTGAGGAGATGACACAGTGTACAGTGGCATGAAAACTCTTGAATGAATGTTCAGGTACCCCATCTTTGGGGCATCACAGCTGTGCTTTAAGGTAGTTCAGCTTCTGATCTTTAAGTGGTGATGATAGTGTCATAAATCAGGCTGCATTTTTTAAGATTGGGTGGCTGCATTGCCTAAAAATACATTCATCCTCGGAAGAGAAGGTTATCTAGGGAGAGTCATACCTTTCCCGGTGCCCTGTGCAGAGTTCCTTTCCAAAGGCCTCTGCCAGGGAAAATAGAAGTTGCAAGCTGTTTGTGCTGCATTTAACACTGCTCATCAAACTGAAATATGGCACTGTCAAAAATAGGGTTTATCACTAGGGAAACAGAGTTTTTGGGTTTCGGTTAAAAATGAGAATGCAGTAACATGTACCGTCCCATAGTACTCTGAATAAAGTGAGAGAGCTTGGAAGTTGCCTACAATACACCTGGAATATATGAGACAAAATAGTTAAGATCCAAATTGCTGTTTTATCAACCTCATGCTTTTATTTTCTTCCTTTTGGCTGACTCAGTCCCTTTCTTGGCGTGATGTTTTGTCCCCGTGGGTTCAT